CCTGCCCCTACGTTCTTCGCACCGGTGACCGTGCGGGGGAGAGGTGTGGAGGCGCCCACACAGCCCGGCGCTGCTTTGGCCGCCTGACCGACGCCTGGCGTCAGCAGTTTCCGGAGGCCGCTGAGATCCCCCGCTGGGGAGAGCTGTCTAGGGCTGGAGTAGCTATTTATGATCTTGACTTTGATGCTATTCTCTCTGCTATGTATGCTGTGACTGGTAGTGATGAGGATGACTGTTACCGGTGTTTCCCGCCCGACCCGGGCATTGGTACTGCCGCGTCAGGTACTAGTGAGGCTGCTGCTCTAGGTGCCAGTGCGTCTGTGCTCTCAGGTGCTGGTGAGTCTGCCCTCTCAGGTACTGTGTCGGCTTCGGCCTCTCACACCTTCACCCTTGACTCTGGAGCGTCTCGCTCCTTCTTTAGGGACCGCACCACTCTCACGCCGCTGAGTCGGCCGGTTGCAGTGTCCCTGGCTGACCCCTCTGGGGGGCCGGTCCTGGCTCGCTTCTCCACTGTCCTCCCGTGTCCGGCGGCCCCCTCTGGCACCCTGACTGGTCTCTACCTCCCCTCGTTCTCGACGAACTTGGTGAGTGGTGCTGACCTCCAGGATGCGGGTGTCCACCAGTTCACCCCTGCTCGTCAGCGGGTGACCCACTGCACGGAGGAGGATACAGGTCGCCACCTGGCTACGTTTACACGTCGGCCAGGGTCGAGCCTGTACACACTGACCACTGCTTCTCCTCCAGGTGCTGAGTCTGGTAGGGTCCCTTCGTCTGGTCAGGTGTTTGCTGCAGCGTCCAGGTCTGGTCCTGAGTCTGCCCCCTGCTCGTGTCGTCGTCTGTCTCACGAGACCCTCCTCTGGCACCACCGCCTTGGCCACCCCTCTCTGCTTCGGCTCAGAGGCATGGCCTCGCGAGTCCTTGTGTCTGGTCTTCCCCGGTCTCTCCCTCCCCTTCCTCCGGGCCCTGGCCCCACCTGTGTCCCCTGTGTCGAGGGGCGCCAGCGTGCTGCCCCTCACTCCTCCCAGTTTCCTCCCACAGAGGCCCCATTGCAGACGCTTCACATGGACGTGTGGGGCCGAGCCCGTGTCCGTGGACAGGGTCAGGAGCGCTACTTCCTGCTGGTGGTTGACGACTACTCGCGTTACACCACAGTCTTCCCCTTGCGCAGCAAGGGTGAGGTCACTGAGGTGCTGATCGACTGGATCCGCGCAGCTCGTCTCCGGCTTCGGAGGAGCTTTGGCTCTGACTTCCCTGTTTTGCGTCTGCACTCGGACAGAGGTGGAGAGTTCTCCTCCGGCCTCCTGAGTGCCTACTATCGTGCGCGAGGCATCCGTCAGACCTTCACGCTTCCGGACTCACCGCAGCAAAATGGGATTGCTGAGCGCCGCATTGGCATGGTCATGGACGTCGCTCGTACGTCCATGATGCATGCGGCTGCTCCCCATTTTCTGTGGCCGTTTGCGGTCAGGTACGCTGCGCACCAGATCAACCTCCACCCCAGGGTCTCTCGACCGGAGACCTCCCCAGCCCTGCTGTGGACGGGGAAGGTTGGCGATGCGTCGGCGTTCCGGGTCTGGGGATCTCGGGCGTTTGTTCGTGACCTGTCTGCGGACAAGCTGTCCCCTCGTGCTTCTCCCTGTGTCTTCCTGGGGTTCCCCCCCGACGCCCCTGGGTGGCAGTTTTACCACCCCACCTCTCGACGTGTTCTGTCCTCCCAGGACATCACGTTCGACGAGTCGGTGCCCTACTACCGCCTCTTCCCCTACCGCACTCCGTCCCTCCCCCCACCCCCGCTCTTCTTGGTACCAGGTCCCCCCCCGGTAGTCCCCCTCCCCCCTCAGGGTCCTGCCCCTTCAGGTGTGTCCCAGGTAGACGCGGTCGAGCCTGTCGAGGTCACTGGTGACTCTGGTACTGCTGCGGGAGCTGAGCCTGGGGGTGCGGAGTCTGGGGGTGTTGAGCCTGGAGGTGCCGAGTCTGGGGGTGCTGAGCCTGGGGGTGCTGAGCCTGGGGGTGCTGAGCCTGGGGGTGCTGTGCCTGGGGGTGCTGAGCCTGGAGGTGCCGAGTCTGGAGGTGCTGTGCCTGGGGGTGCTGGGCCTTGGGGTGCTGAGCCTGGGGGTGCCGTGCCTGGAGGTGCTGTGTCTAGGGGTGCTGAGCCCGAGGGTGCTGTGCCTGGGGGTGCTTCGTCTCGCCGGGGGCCACTCTCCCCACAGGAGCTGCGTGAGTGGTTTGCCGGGCGCTGGAGGCGTGCTGCTGGTGCTGGTGGTTCTTCGGCTGCAGAGGGCACTGCTGCTGCGCGCCCCGCCGGTGCTCGTACTGTGGGTGCTGGAGCTGCTGAGTCTGAGAGTTCTCCTGGAGCTGGTCCTGCTGAGGGTGTTGGCGCTGAGCCTGCCGTTGGCGGCCCGACTGACAGTGCTCCTGGTGCTGCGGTTGGAGGTTCTGGAGCTTCTGGTGGTGCTGCTGGAGGTGCTGCTGGAGTCGGTGCTCCTGCCGGGGCTGCTGGTGCTGTTCCTGCTGTTTCTAGCGTCGCCACGCGGCCCCGACCGTACTTCGTTCCGCTCCTGCAGCAGGTTCTTGGTCTTACACCTCCTCCTCCTCCCTTAGAGGGTCCGCAGCCTGTCCGGTTCCAGCCACAGCTACAGCCTGCCTCCCCTTTGCCTGCTCCTTCTCCCTACGCTGGTCCGACAGGAGGTCTTACTGAGCGTCGTGAGCCTGCGTCTCGTCCTGTGTCGCCTGTTCGTACTGAGCGCGCTAGTGGTCGCGGGTCGCGTCAGCGTCCTCCTCCTGTCCCTGGCACGTACCGGATGTCACTGCGTCCGTCCACTGCTCCTCTGCGTGCCCCTTTGCCTTCTCCTCCTGCTTCCTCTCTTCCTGCTCTTGCCGGCCCGGAGTCGGACGCTCTCCGTGCTACCAGTCCTACTGTCACGCGTCTCCTGGCTACTGCTGTCACTGACCCTTCCTTCGAGTCGTCTGCTGCGTCTGCCCTTGTCACTGAGCTTGTCGACTTTGCTGCGCGCTGTCGTCTAGACTACGCTGCTCGTCTTGTCACTGAGTCTGAGTCCGCCTGTCCTCCGTCTGTCGGGGGTGAGTGTGCCCTTGGCACGGACGTCCTTGAGGACAGGCAGGAGGAGTTTCAGTGTCTGGCCGCCGCTTCACCTCGTCTCGCGTCTGTACTGCTAGCCCCTGAGGGAGACCCGGATGCACCAGACATCCCGACTCCGCGCTCTTACGCGGAGGCGATAGAGGGTCCCTACTCCTCTTAGTGGCAGGCAGCTATGGATGCAGAGATGGCTTCCTGGAAGTCCACAGGCACCTACGTTGACGCTGTTCCCCCTCCTGGGGCAAACATCGTCAGTGGCATGTGGATTTTCAGGGTGAAGCGGCCACCGGGTTCTCCGCCTGTCTTCAAGGCGCGTTACGTGGCTCGTGGCTTCAGTCAGCGGCAGGGGGTTGACTACTTTCAGACCTTCTCCCCCACCCCGAAGATGACCACTCTTCGGGTTCTGCTACACGTTGCTGCTCACCGTGACTACGAGCTGCACTCTCTCGACTTCAGCACAGCTTTCTTGCAGGGCAGCCTGCACGAGGAGATCTGGCTACGTCGCCCACCTGGCTTCACTGGGTCTTTCCCTCCTGGTACCCAGTGGAGTCTCCGGCGTCCAGTCTACGGTCTCCGCCAGGCGCCACGTGAGTGGCACGACACACTGAGGACTACGCTCGCGGCACTTGGGTTTGCTCCTTCCACTACCGACCCGTCGCTGTTTCTGCGCACCGACACCTCTCTGCCGCCGTTCTACATCCTCGTGTACGTCGACGACTTGGTCTTTGCCACAGCTGACACTACTGGACTCGCCTACGTGAAGTCCGAGCTGCAGAAGAGACACATGTGCACTGACCTGGGTGAACTGCGCAGCTACCTTGGCTTGCAGATCACCCGGGACAGAGCACGCCGCACCATTACCCTGACTCAGTCACACATGGTGCAGCAGGTCCTTCAGCGCTTCGGCTTCACGTACTCCTCGCCTCAGGCCACTCCTCTGCCTACTCGCCACTCGCTCTCAGCTCTGCCTTTGGATGAGTCCGTAGAGTCGAGTGGTCCGTATGCAGAGCTTGTTGGCTGCCTCATGTACCTGATGACCTGCACACGACCTGACCTCGCATACCCTCTTAGCATTCTCGCACGCTTTGTTGCTCCTGGGAGACACCGACCAGAGCACATGGCTGCAGCGAAGAGGGTGTTGCGCTACTTGTGCAGTACGTCGGGCATGGGGCTAGTGCTTGGAGGGCGCAGTCCAGTGGTCCTCACTGGGCACGCAGACGCTTCTTGGGCTGACGACCAGGCTACGCAGCGGTCGTCACAGGGTTACACCTTCAGCCTTGGTTCCGGCTCTGTCTCGTGGCGGGCTACCCGCTCGTCTTCTGTTCTCGGCTCCAGTTGTGAGGCTGAGATCTACGCTGGGGCTATGGCTGCACAGGAGTTACGCTGGCTCACCTACCTGCTGACCGACCTTGGAGAGCAGCCTCGTTCTCCTCCAGTCCTGTACGTAGACAACAAGGCCATGCTGGCCTTGTGTCGAGAGCAGCGACTGGAGCACAGAACGAAGCACATTGCTCTTCGCTACTTTCTTGCTCGTGAGCTACAGCAGCGTGGACAGCTGCGACTTGCGTACGTGGCCTCTGAGGCCAACACTGCTGATGTCTTCACCAAGGCACTTGCGCCTTGTGATCATCAGCGTTGCTGCACGCAGTTGGGTCTTGTGCCTGTCTTGCCTCACTTGCTCTCCTCTTGACCTTGCTTGTACTTTCGCATATATATACTCTTGCTCTTGTATATCTCTATATATGATCTTGCATGTGAACTGGCCTTGTGGCCTTTGAACTTGTGCTCGGAATGCGTGGTGATTTTGTGATCCACCCTGAGCTTTGCTTTGCTTTGCTTGACCGGTCTTGTGACCCCTTGTTCTCCCCCACTTTGCCTATGGGGGTGTGTCAGAACTTATAGCTTACTTGTTTCTGTAGGCTATAGTGGGGTATCCCATAGGGGGTACAACCAAATTAGGGTTTCCTATTTGTACTCACTTCATTCATAGTCATTACACTTCTCGTTCCTATTTCCTCATACACGTCCACGTCCACGTCCACGTCGTCCACGTCCACGTCCACGTCCACGTCCACGTCCATGTCCACGTCCACGTCCATGTCCACGTCCACGTCCACGTCAACGTCCACGTGCACGTCCACTCCACGTCCACGTCCATGTCCACGTCCAAGTCCTCCACGTCCACGTCCACGTCCACGTTCACGTCCATGTCCACGTCCAAGTTCTCCACGTCCACGTCCACGTCCACGTCCACGTCCTCCACGTCCACGTCCACGTCCACGTCCATGTCCACGTCCACGTCCACGTCTACGTCCACGTCTACGTCCATGTCCACGTCCACGTCCACGTCCACGTCCACGTCCACGTTCACGTCCACGTTCACGTCCATGTCCACGTCCAAGTTCTCCACGTCCACGTCCACGTCCTCCACGTCCACGTCCACGTCCACGTCCAGGTCCACGTCCACGTCCACGTCTACGTCTACGTCCACGTCCATGTCCACGTCCACGTCCACATCCACGTCCATGTCCACGTCCACGTCCACGTCCACGTCCACGTCCATGTCCACGTCCACGTCCACGTCCACGTCCACTCCACGTCCACGTCCACGTCCATGTCCACGTCCACGTCCACGTCCACGTCCACGTCCAGGTCCACGTCCACGTTCACGTCCATGTCCACGTCCACGTCCACGTCCACGTCCACCTCCACGTCCACCTCCACGTCCACGTCCACGTCCACGTCCACCTCCACGTCCACGTCCACCTCCACGTCCACCTCCACGTCCACCTCCACGTCTACGTCCACGTCCACGTCCACGTCCACATCCACTTCCACGTCCACGTCCACGTCCACGTCCACGTCCAGGTCCACGACCAGGTCCACGTCCGGGTCCACTCCACGTCCACGTCCACGTCCACGTCCACGTCCACGTCCACGTCCATGTCCACGTCAACGTCCACGTCCAGGTCCACGTCCAGGTCCACTCCACGTCCACCTCCACGTCCACGTCCACGTCTACGTCCACGTCCCAGTCCACGTCCACGTCCACGTCCATGTCCACGTCCACGTCCACGGCCACGTCCACGTCTACGTCCACGTCCACGTCCACGTCCACGTCCAGGTCCACGTCCACGTCCACGTCACGTCCACGTCCACGTCCACGTCCATGTCCACGTCCACGACCACGTCCACGTCCACGTCCACGTCCACGTCCACGTCCATGTCCACCTCCACGTCCACGTCCACGTCCACGTCAATGTCCACGTCCACGTCACGTCCACGTCCACGTCCACGTCCACGTCCACTCCACGTCCACGTCCACGTCCACGTCCATGTCCACGTCCACGTCCACGTCCACGTCCATGTCCACGTCCACGTCCACGTCCACGTCCACGTCCAGGTCCACGTCCACGTCCACGTCCATGTCCACGTCACGTCCACGTCCATGTCCACGTCCACGTCCATGTCCACGTCCACGACCACGTCCACGTCCACGTCCACGTTCACGTCCATCTCCACGTCCATGTCCACCTCCACGTCCACCTCCACGTCCACGTCCATGTCCACGTCCACGTCCACGTCCACGACCACGTCCACGTCCACGTCCACGTCCACGACCACGTCCACGTCCACGTCCATGTCCATGTTCATGGCCATGTCCACGACCATGTCCACGTCCACGTCCACGTCCACGTCCACGTCCACGTCCATGTCCACGTCCACGTCTACGTCCACCTCCATGTCCACGCCCACGTCCATGTCCACGTCCACGTCCACATCCATGTCCACGTCCAAGTCCTCCACGTCCATGGCCACGTCCACGTTCACGTCCATGTCCACGTCCAAGTTCTCCACGTCCACGTCCACTTCCATGTCCATGTCCACGTCCACGTCCATGTCCACGTCCAACTCCTCCACGTCCACGTCCACGTCCACGTCCATGTCCACGTCAACGTCCACGTCCACGTCTACGTCCATGACCACGTCCACGTCCACGTCTACGTTCACGTCCACGTCCACAACCACATCTACGTCCACGTCCATGTCCACGTCCACGTCCACGTCCACGTCCACGTCCATGTCCACGTCCACGTCTACATCCACGTCCATGTCCACGTCCACGTCTACGTCCATGTCCACGTCCATGTCCACGTCCATGTCCACGTCCACGTCCACGTCCATGTCCACGTCCATGTCCTCCTCCGCGTTTCCATCCGCTCTTCCCCTCTCCCCATCTCACTAGCTCCAGCCCATCCTTCCTCCCTCATTCCTTCCGAAGAGGTGGGACAGATGGGGAGGAACAGATGGGGAGAAACAGAGGTGGTCGCTACGCCACCACAATCGAACAGCGTTTTGATTCCCTCTCTACTCCCCACCATCCTCCCCCCAGCTCTCTCCCCGGCATCTGCCCACGTTCCCCCCATCCTCTTCCCTGCTTCCCCGTATCCCTAGCCGTGCTTCCCCCTATCCTATCCCCTCTTACCCCGTATCCCCTGCCCTGCTTCCCCCCATCCCCTTCCCTGCTTCCCCCCATCCCCTTCCCTACTTCCCCCCATCCCCTTCCCACATCCATGTCCACGTCCATGTCCACGTCCACGTCCATGTCCATGTCCACGTCCACGTCCACGTCCACGTCCACGTCCATATCCACGTCGTCCATATCCACGTCCACGTCCACGTCCATGTCCACGTCCACGTCACGTCCACGTCCACGTCCACGTCCACGTCCATGTCCACGTCCACGTCCATGTCCACGTCAAAGTCCATGTCCACGTCCATGTCCACGTCCACGTCCACGTCCACGTCCACGTCCATGTCCACGTCCACGTCCACGTCCATGTCCACGTCCACGTCCACGTCCACGACCATGTCCACGTCCACGTCCACGTCCAAGTCCACAACCTCGTCCACGTCCATGTCCACGTCCACGTCCATGTCCACGTTCACGTCCATGTCCACGACCATGTCCACGTCCACGTCCACGTCCATGTCCATGTCCACGTCCACGTCCACGTTCACGTCCACGTCCATGTCCACGACCACGTCCAAGTCCACATCTACGTCCACGTCCATGTCCACGTCCACGTCCACGTCCACGTCCACGACCATGTCTTCGTCCACGTCCACGTCCACGTCCACGTCCATCTCCACGTCCATGTCCACGTCCACGTCCACGTCTACGCCTACGTCCATGTCCACGTCCACGTCCACGTCCATGTTCCTCCACGTCCACGTCCACGTCCACGACCACGTCCACGTCCACGTCCACGTCCAAGTCTACGTCCATGTCGACGTCCACGTCCACGTCCACGTGCACGACCATGTCTTCGTCCACGTCCACGTCCATGTCCACGTCCATGTCCACGTCCACGTCCACATCCATGTCCACGTCCACGCCACGTCCACGTCCATGTCCATGTCTACGTCCACATCCACGTCCACGTCCACGTCCACGTCCATGTCCACGTCCACGTCCATGTCCACGTCCAGGACCATGTCCACGTCCACGTCCATGTCCACGTCCACATCCACGTCCACGTCAATGTCCACGTCCACGTCACGTCCACGTCCACGTCCACGACCACGTCCACGTCCACGTCCACGTCTACGTCCACGTCCACGTCCACGTCCATGTCCACGTCTACGTCCACGTCCACGTCTACGTCCATGTCTACGTCCACGTCTATGTCCACGTCTATGTCCACGTCTATGTCCACGTCTATGTCCACGTCCAAGTCGTCCACGTCCACGTCCACATCCACGTCCACATCCACGTCCAAGTCCTCCACGTCCACGTCCACGTCCACGTCCACGTCCACTTCCACGTCCACGTCCACGTCCACGTCTACGTCCACGTCCACGTCCACGTCCATGTCCATGTCCACGTCCACGTCTACGTCTACGTCCACGTCCACGTCAATGTCCACGTCCACGTCCACGTCCACGTCCACGTCCATGTCCACGTCCACATCCATGTCCGCGTCCACGACCAGGTCGACGTCCACGTCAACGTCCACGTCCACGTCCTCGTCCACGTCCATGTTCCTCCACGTCCACGTCCACGACCAGGTCCACGTCCATGTCCACCTTCACGTCCACGTCTACGTCCATATCTACGTCCACGTCCACGTCCACGACCATGGCTTCGTCCACGTCCCTGTCCACGTCAAATTCCACGTCCACTTCCACGTCCACTTCCACGTCCATGTCCACGTCCACGTCTACGTCCACGTCCACGACCACGTCCACGTCCACGTCCACGTCTACGTCCATGTCCACGTCCACGTCCATGTCCACGTCCACGTCCATGTCCACGTCCATGTCCACGTCAACGTCCATGTCCACGTCCACGTCCATGTCCACGTCCATGTTCATATCCACGTCCACGTCCACGTCCACGCCCACGACCACGTCCATGTTATTCGCACTCTTAGTTCCCATACTGACCGACCTGGCCAATGCACCATTTTCCATATACATATGCATTAAATTCGTTTCGAACCTTATTAGCTCACTAGATTTATATATTTCCCACCTTCTGATCGAGTGAGACCGCTAGATTCCCTCTACTTTTTGAGAAATGAGCGTTTCCGTTCTCCTTGGCCCTAGTTGCTCTATAAGTGCGAAATGCCGGCCAGACTGGCCGACGCACAATTTTCTCTACACATGTTCGTTAGTTATCTTTCAAACCCTTATGTTCACTAGATGAATATATTTCCTACTTTCTTTTTGGGTGAGACCACTTGATTCCGTGTACTATGCGAGATCTGAGCGCTTCCGTTCTCCCTGGCATTTGCATTTTAAGTTCCGATACTGACCGACCTGGCCAATGCACCATTTTCTCTATACCTGTGCGTTGAATACAATTCAAACCTTTTTGCTGACTAGATTTATATATTTCCCACCTTCTGATTGAGTGAGTCCGTTAGATTCCCTCTACTTTTTGAGAAACGAGCATTTTTGTTCTCCCTGGCCCCACCTGCACTATAAGTGCGAAATGCTGGCCAGACAGGCCGATGCACCATTTTCTCTACACATGTGCGTTAGTTACATTTCAAACCCTTACGTTCACTAGATGAATTTATTTCCTACCTTCTATTTGAGTGAGACCACTAGATTCCGTGTACTATGCAAGATCTGAGCGCTTCCGTTCTCCCTGGCATTTGCACTCTAAGTTCCCATACTGACCGACCTGGCCAATGCACCACTTTCCATATACATATACATTAGATTCCTTTCGAACCTTATTAACTCACTAGATCTATATATTTCCCACCTTCTGATCGAGTGAGACCGCTAGATTCCCTTTACTTTTTGAGAAATAAGCGTTTCCGTTCTCCTTGGTCCTACTTGCACTATGAGTGCGAAATGCCGGCCAGACTGGCCGATGCACCATTTTCTCTAGACATGTGCGTTAGTTACCTTTCAAACCATTACGTTCACTAGATGAATTTATTTCCTACCTTCTATTTGAGTGAGACCACTAGATTCCGTGTACTATGCGAGATCTGAGCGCTTCCGTTCTCCCTGGCATTTTCACTCTAAGTTCCCATACTGACCGACCTGGCCAATGCACCATTTTCCATATACATATGCATTAGATTCCTTTCTAACCTTATTAGCTCACTAGATCTATATATTTCCCACCTTCTGATCGAGTGAGACCGCTAGATTCCCTTTACTTTTTGAGAAATGAGCGTTTCCGTTCTCCTTGGTCCTACTTGCACTATGAGTGCGAAATGCCGGCCAGACTGGCCGATGCACCATTTTCTCTACACATGTGCGTTAGTTACCTTTCAAACCATTACGTTCACTAGATGAATTTATTTCCTACCTTCTATTTGAGTGAGACCACTAGATTCCGTGTACTATGCGAGATCTGAGCGCTTCCGTTCTCCCTGGCATTTGCACTCTAAGTTCCCATACTGACCGACCTGGCCAATGCACCACTTTCCATATACATATGCATTAGATTCCTTCCGAACCTTATTAGCTCACTAGATTCATATATTTCCCACCTTCTGATCGAGTGAGACCGCTAGATTCCCTTTACTTTTTGAGAAATGAGCGTTTCCGTTCTCCTTGGCCCTACTTGCACTATAAGTGCGAAATGCCGGCCAGACTGGCCGATGCACCATTTTCTCTACACATGTGCGTTAGTTACCTTTCAAACCCTTACGTTCACTAGATGAATTTATTTCCTACCTTCTATTTGAGTGAGACCACTAGATTCCGTGTACTATGCGAGATCTGAGCGCTTCCGTTCTCCCTGGCATTTGCACTCTAAGTTCCCATACTGACCGACCTGGCCAATGCACCATTTTCCATATACATATGCATTAGATTCCTTTCGAACCTTATTAGCTCACTAGATTTATATATTTCCCACCTTCTGATCGAGTGAGATCGCTAGATTCCCTTTAATTTTTGAGAAATGAGCGTTTCCGTTCTCCTTGGCCCTACTTGCACTATAAGTGCGAAATGCCGGCCAGACTGGCCGATGCACAATTTTCTCTACACATGTGCGTTAGTTACCTTTCAAACCCGTACGTCCACATCCACGTCCATGTCCACGTCCACGTCCATGTACGCGTCCACGTCCGCGTCCACGTCCGCGTCCGCGTCCACGTCCACGTCCACGCCCACGTCCACGTCCATGTCCACGTCCACGTCCACGTCACGTCCACGTCCACGTCCACCTCCACGTCCACGTCCACGTCCACGTCCACGTCCACGTCCACGTCCACGTCGACGTCCACGTCCATGTCCACCTCCATGTCCACGTCCACGTCGACGTCCACGTCCACGTCCACCTCCATGTCCACGTCCACGTCCACGTCCGTGTCGACGTCGACGTCCACATCCACGTCCATGTCCACGTCCACGTCCACGTCCATGTCCACGTCCACGTCCATATCCACGTCCACATCCACGTCCATATCCACGTCCATGTCCACGTCCACGTCCACGTCCATGTCCACGTCCAAGTCCTCCACGTCCACGTCCACGTTCACGTCCACGTCCACGTCCAAGTTCTCCACGTCCACGTCCCGTCCATGTCCACGTCCACGTCCACGTCCGCGTCCACGACCACGTCCACGTCCACGTCCGCGTCCTCGTCCACGTCCGCGTCTACGTCCATGTCCACGTCCATGTCCGCGTCCAGGGCCACGTCCACGTCCACGTCCAGGTCCGCGTCCACGTCCGCGTCCACGTCCACGTCCACGTCCCCGTCCATGTCCATGTCCACGTCCACGTCCACGTCCACGACCACGTCCACGTCCACGTCCACGTCCACGTCCAGGTCCACGTCTACGTCCATGTCCACCTCCATGTCCACGTCCACGTCCATGTCCATGTCCACGTCCATGTCCACGTCCATGTCCATGTCCATGTCCACGTCCACGTCCACGTCCACGACCACGTCCATGTCATTTGCACTCGAAGTTCCCATACTGACCGACCTGGCCAATGCACCATTTTCCATATACATATGCATTAGATTCCTTTCAAACCTTTTTAGCTCACTAGATTTATATATTTCCCACCTTTTGATCGAGTGAGACCGCTAGATTCCCTCTACTTTTTGAGAAATAAGCGTTACCGTTCTCCTTGGCCCTAGTTGCACTATCAGTGCGAAATGCCGGCCAGACTGGCCGACGCACAATTTTCTCTACACATGTGAGTTAGTTACCTTTCAGACCCTTATGTTCACTAGATGAATATATTTCTTACTTTCTATTTGGGTGAGACCACTTGATTCCGTGTACGATGCGAGATCTGAGCTCTTCCGTTCTCCCTGGCATTTGCATTTTAAGTTCCAATACTGACCGACCTGGCCAATGCACCATTTTCTCTATACATGTGCGTTGAATACATTTCAAACCTTTTTAGCTGACTAGATTTATATATTTCCCACCTTCTGATCGAGTGAGACGGTAAGATTCCCTCTACTTTTTGGGAAACGAGCGTTTCCGTTCTCCCTGGCCCCACCTGCACTATGAGTGCGAAATGCCGGCCAGACTGGCCGATGCACCATTTTCTCTACACATGTGCGTTAGTTACCTTTCAAACCCTTACGTTCACTAGATGAATATATTTCCTACCTTATATTTGAGGGAGACCACTAGATTCCGTGTATTATGCGAGATCTGAGCAGTTCTGTTCTCCCAGGCATTTGCACTCTAAGTTCCCATACTGACCGACCTGGCCAATGCACCACTTTCCATATACATATGCATTAGATTCCTTCCGAACCTTATTAGCTCACTAGATTTATATATTTCCCACCTTCTGATTGAGTGAGACCGCTAGATTCCCTTTACTTTTTGAGAAATGAGTGTTTCCGTTCTCCTTGGCCCTACTTGCACTATATGTGCGAAATGCCGGCCAGACTGGCCGATGCACCATTTTCTCTACACATGTGCGTTAGTTACCTTTCAAACCCTTACGTTCACTAGATGAATTTATTGCCTACCTTCTATTTGAGTGAAACCACTAGATTCCGTGTACTATGCGAGATCTGAGCGCTTCCGTTCTCCCTGGCATTTGCACTCTAAGTTCCCATACTGACCGACCTGGCCAATGCACCATTTTCCATATACATATGCATTAGATTCCCTTCGAACCTTATTTGCTCACTAGATTTATATATTTCCCACCTTCTGATCGAGTGAGATCGCTAGATTCCCTTTAATTTTTGAGAAATGAGCGTTTCCGTTCTCCTTGGCCCTACTTGCACTATAAGTGCGAAATGCCGGCCAGACTGGCCGATGCACAATTTTCTCTACACATGTGCGTTAGTTACCTTTCAAACCCGTACGTCCACATCCACGTCCATGTCCACGTCCACGTCCATGTACGCGTCCACGTCCGCGTCCACGTCCGCGTCCGCGTCCACGTCCACGTCCACGCCCACGTCCACGTCCACGTCCACGTCCACGTCACGTCCACGTCCACGTCCACCTCCACGTCCACGTCCACGTCCACGTCCACGTCCACGTCCACGTCCACGTCCACGTCGACGTCCACGTCCATGTCCACCTCCATGTCCACGTCCACGTCGACGTCCACGTCCACCTCCATGTCCACGTCCACGTCCACGTCCGTGTCGACGTCGACGTCCACATCCACGTCCATGTCCACGTCCACGTCCACGTCCATGTCCACGTCCACGTCCATATCCACGTCCACATCCACGTCCATATCCACGTCCATGTCCACGTCCACGTCCACGTCCATGTCCACGTCCAAGTCCTCCACGTCCACGTCCACGTTCACGTCCACGTCCACGTCCAAGTTCTCCACGTCCACGTCCCGTCCATGTCCACGTCCACGTCCACGTCCGCGTCCACGACCACGTCCACGTCCACGTCCGCGTCCTCGTCCACGTCCGCGTCTACGTCCATGTCCACGTCCATGTCCGCGTCCAGGGCCACGTCCACGTCCACGTCCAGGTCCGCGTCCACGTCCGCGTCCACGTCCACGTCCACGTCCCCGTCCATGTCCATGTCCACGTCCACGTCCACGTCCACGACCACGTCCACGTCCACGTCCACGTCCACGTCCAGGTCCACGTCTACGTCCATGTCCACCTCCATGTCCACGTCCACGTCCATGTCCATGTCCACGTCCATGTCCACGTCCATGTCCATGTCCATGTCCACGTCCACGTCCACGTCCACGACCACGTCCATGTCATTTGCACTCGAAGTTCCCATACTGACCGACCTGGCCAATGCACCATTTTCCATATACATATGCATTAGATTCCTTTCAAACCTTTTTAGCTCACTAGATTTATATATTTCCCACCTTTTGATCGAGTGAGACCGCTAGATTCCCTCTACTTTTTGAGAAATAAGCGTTACCGTTCTCCTTGGCCCTAGTTGCACTATCAGTGCGAAATGCCGGCCAGACTGGCCGACGCACAATTTTCTCTACACATGTGAGTTAGTTACCTTTCAGACCCTTATGTTCACTAGATGAATATATTTCTTACTTTCTATTTGGGTGAGACCACTTGATTCCGTGTACTATGCGAGATCTGAGCTCTTCCGTTCTCCCTGGCATTTGCATTTTAAGTTCCAATACTGACCGACCTGGCCAATGCACCATTTTCTCTATACATGTGCGTTGAATACATTTCAAACCTTTTTAGCAGACTAGATTTATATATTTCCCACCTTCTGATCGAGTGAGACGGTAAGATTCCCTCTACTTTTTGAGAAACGAGCGTTTCCGTTCTCCCTGGCCCCACCTGCACTATGAGTGCGAAATGCCGGCCAGACTGGCCGATGCACCATTTTCTCTACACATGTGCGTTAGTTACCTTTCAAACCCTTACGTTCACTAGATGAATATATTTCCTACCTTATATTTGAGGGAGACCACTAGATTCCGTGTATTATGCGAGATCTGAGCAGTTCTGTTCTCCCAGGCATTTGCACTCTACGTTCCCATACTGACCGACCTGGCCAATGCACCACTTTCCATATACATATGCATTAGATTCCTTCCGAACCTTATTAGCTCACTAGATTTATATATTTCCCACCTTCTGATTGAGTGAGACCGCTAGATTCCCTTTACTTTTTGAGAAATGAGTGTTTCCGTTCTCCTTGGCCCTACTTGCACTATATGTGCGAAATGCCGGCCAGACTGGCCGATGCACCATTTTCTCTACACATGTGCGTTAGTTACCTTTCAAACCCTTACGTTCACTAGATGAATTTATTGCCTACCTTCTATTTGAGTGAAACCACTAGATTCCGTGTACTATGCGAGATCTGAGCGCTTCCGTTCTCCCTGGCATTTGCACTCTAAGTTCCCATACTGACCGACCTGGCCAATGCACCATTTTCCATATACATATGCATTAGATTCCCTTCGAACCTTATTTGCTCACTAGATTTATATATTTCCCACCTTCTGATCGAGTGAGATCGCTAGATTCCCTTTAATTTTTGAGAAATGAGCGTTTCCGTACTCCTTGGCCCTACTTGCACTATAAGTGCGAAATGCCGGCCAGACTGGCCGATGCACAATTTTCTCTACACATGTGAGTTAGTTACCTTTCAAACCCTTATGTTCACTAGATGAATATATTTCTTACTTTCTATTTGGGTGAGACCACTTGATTCCACTTTCTATGCTAGATCTGAGCTCTTCCATTCTCCCTGGCATTTGCATTTTAAGTTCCAATACTGACCGACCTCGCCAATGCACCATTTTCTCTATACATGTGCGTTGAATACATTTCAAACCTTTTTAGCTGACTAGATTTATATATTTCCCACCTTCTGATCGAGTGAGACGGTAAGATTCCCTCTACTTTTTGAGAAACGAGCGTTTCCGTTCTCCCTGGCCCCACCTGCACTATGAGTGCGAAATGCCGGCCAGACTGGCCGATGCACCATTTTCTCTACACATGTGCGTTAGTTACCTTTCAAACCCTTACGTTCACTCGATGAATATATTTCCTACCTTATATTTGAGGGAGACCACTAGATTCCGTGTATTATGCGAGATCTGAGCAGTTCTGTTCTCCCAGGCATTTGCACTCTAAGTTCCCATACTGACCGACCTGGCCAATGCACCACTTTCCATATACATATGCATTAGATTCCTTCCGAACCTTATTAGCTCACTAGATTTATATATTTCCCACCTTCTGATTGAGTGAGACCGCTAGATTCCCTTTACTTTTTGAGAAATGAGTGTTTCCGTTCTCCTTGGCCCTACTTGCACTATATGTGCGAAATGCCGGCCAGACTGGCCGATGCACAATTTTCTCTACACATGTGTGTTAGTTACCTTTCAAACCCTTACGTTCACTAGATGAATATATTTCCTACTTTCTATTTGAGTGAGACCACTTGATTCCGTGTACTATGCGAGATCTGAGCGCTTCCGTTCTCCCTGGCATTTGCATTTTAAGTTCCGATACTGACCGACCTGGCCAATGCACCATTTTCTCTATACATGTGCGTTGAATACATTTCAAACCTTTTTAGCTGACTAGATTTATATATTTCCCACCTTCTGATCGAGTGAGACGGTAAGATTCCCTCTACTTTTTGAGAAACGAGCGTTTCAGTTCTCCCTGGCCCCACCTGCACTATGAGTGCGAAATGCCGGCCAGACTGGCCGATGCACCATTTTCTCTACACATGTGCGTTAGTTACCTTTCAAACCCTTACGTTCACTAGATAAATATATTTCCTACCTTATATTTGAGTGAGACCACTAGATTCCGTGTATTATGCGAGATCTGAGCGGTTCTGTTCTCCCAGGCATTTGCACTGAAGTTCCCATACTAACCGACCTGGCCAATGCACCACTTTCCATATACATATGCATTAGATTCCTTTCAAACCTTATTAGCTCACTAGATTTATATATTTCCCACCTTTTGATCGAGTGAGACCGCTAGATTCCCTTTACTTTTTGAGAAATGAGCGTTTCCGTTCTCCTTGGCCCTACTTGCACTATAAGTGCGAAATGCCGGCCAGACTGGCCGATGCACCATTTTCTCTACACATGTGCGTTAGTTACCTTTCAAACCCTTACGTTCACTAGATGAATTTATTTCCTACCTTCTATTTGAGTGAGACCACTAGATTCTGTGTACTATGCGAGATCTGAGCGCTTCCATTCTCCCTGGCATTTGCACTCTAAGTTCCCATACTGACCGACCTGGCCAATGCACCATTTTCCATATACATCTGCATTAGATTCCTTTCGAACCTTATAAACTCACTAGATTTATATATTTCCCACCTTCTAATCGAGTGAGACCGCTAGATTCCCTTTACTTTTTGAGAAATTAGCGTTTCCGTTCTCTTTGGCCCTACTTGCACTATAAGTGCGAAATGCCGGCCAGACTGGCCGATGCACCATTTTCTCTACATATGTGCGTTAGTTACTTTTCAAACCCTTACGTTCACTAGATGAATTTTTTTCCTACCTTCTATTTTAGTGAGACCACTAGATTCCGTGTACTATGCGAGATCTGAGCGCTTCCGTTCTCCCTAGCATTTGCACTCTAAGTTCCCATACTGACCGACCTGGCCAATGCACCATTTTTAATATACATATGCATTAGATTCCTTTCAAACCTTATTAGCTCACTAGATTTATATATTTCCCACCTTCTGATCGAGTGAGACCACTAGATTCCCTCTACTTTTTGAGAAATGAGCGTTTTCGTTCTCCTTGGCCCTAGGTGCACGATAAGTGCGAAATGCCGGCCAGACTGGCCGATGCACAATTTTCTCTACACATGTGTGTTAGTTACCTTTCAAACCCTTACGTTCACTAGATGAATATATTTCCTACTTTCTATTTGAGTGAGACCACTTGATTCCGTGTACTATGCGAGATCTGAGCGCTTCCGTTCTCCCTGGCATTTGCATTTTAAGTTCCGATACTGACCGACCTGGCCAATGCACCATTTTCTCTATACATGTGCGTTGAATACATTTCAAACCTTTTTAGCTGACTAGATTTATATATTTCCCACCTTCTGATCGAGTGAGACCGTTAGATTCCCTCTACTTTTTGAGAAACGAGCGTTTTCGTTCTACCTGGCCCCACCTGCACTATGAGTGGGAAATGCCGGCCAGACTGGCCGATGCACCATTTTCTCTACACATGTGCATTATTTACCTTTCAAACCCTTACATTCACTAGATGAATATATTTCCTACCTTAGATTTGAGTAAGACCACTAGATTCTGTGTATTATGCGAGATCTGAGCGGTTCCGTTCTCCCAGGCATTTGCACTCTAAGTTCGCATACTGACCGACCTGGCCAATGCACCAGTTTCCATATACATATGCATTAGATTCCTTTTGAACCTTATAAGCTCACAAGATTTATATATTTCCCACCTTCTGATTGAGTGAGACTGCTAGATTCCCTTTACTTTTTGAGAAATGAGCGTTTCCGTTCTCCTTGGCCCTACTTGCACAATAAGTGCGAAATGCCGGCCAGACTGGCCGATGCACCATTTTCTCTACACATGTGCGTTAGTTACCTTTCAAACCCTTACGTTCACTAGATGAATTTATTTCCTACCTTATATTTGAGTGAGACCACTAGATTCCGTGTATTATGGGAGATCTGAGCGGTTCTGTCTCCCAAGCATTTGCACTCTAAGTTCCCATACTGACCGACCTGGCCAATGCACCACTTTCCAAATACATATGCATTAGATTCCTTTCAAACCTTATTAGCTCACTAGATTTATATATTTCCCACCTTCTGATCGAGTGAGACCGCTAGATTCACTTTACTTTTTGAGAAATGAGCGTTTCAATTCTCCTTGGCTCTACTTGCACGATAAGTGCGAAATGCCGGCCAGACTGGCCGATGCACCATTTTCTCTACACATGTGCGTTAGTTACCTTTCAAACCCTTACGTTCACTAGATGAATTTATTTCCTACCTTCTATTTGAGTGAGACCACTAGATTCCGTGTACTATGCGAGATCTGAGCGCTTCCGTTCTCCCTGGCATTTGCATTTTAAGTTCCCATACTGACCGACCTGGCCAATGCACCATTTTCCATATACATATGCATTAGATTCCTTTCGAACCTTATTAGCTCACTAGATTTATATATTTCCCACCTTCTGATCGAGTGAGACCACTAGATTCCCTCTACTTTTTGAGAAATGAGCGTTTTTGTTCTCCTTGGCCCTAGGTGCACGATAA